GTTGATATAGGGGTAATAATGGAAAAGAAAATGGAAACTACTATATTATAATAGGGTTGATATAGGGCTAATAGTGGAAAAGAAAATGGAAACTACTATATTATAATAGGGTGTATATAGGGGTAATAATGGAAAAGAAAATGGAAACTACCATATCATAATAGGTTTTATATAGGGATAATAATGGAAAGGAAAATGGAAAGTACTATATTAGAATAGGGTTTATATAGGGGTAAGAATGGAAAAGAAAATGGAAACTACTATATTATTATAGGGTTTACATAGGGGTACTCATGGAAAAGAAAATGGAAACTACTGTATTATACTAGGGTGTATATAGGGGTAATAATGGAAAAGAGAATGGAAACTACCATATTATATAGCGTTTATATAGGGGTAAGATAAGGGTTCTATTAGTCTACCAAGCATCCCAGGACGGCTCTGCACAAGTCCCCAGCGAGACGACAACTGCCAGCGTATCCTCCGAAATCTTGCGGAAGGCCCGTGAACTAAACCCTAAACCCTAAACCGTGTTCTTGTGTAGGAGGGTGTTTTTTTTGCGTTTGTCTTGAACCGCTCTGTACTTCACACCTATCGTGCATTGGGCTTGACTTGGTAGGGCTTCAAACTGCCACTGCATGCTGTCCGAACTGAGATGGAAGTGAAGTCTTTGAGGAGTAAATGTAGGGATTATGTGGGGTTATATCGTGGTTATATAGGGATACTGGAAAAGAAAATGGAAATCACTATGTTCCTGAAACATTATGAATAGAACCCACCCTAAACCGTAAACCCTAAACCCTAAACCCTAAACCCTAGCCCCCAACTCCATTCTCTACCTACGCAGCCAAGGAGACCCCGCTTCCTGCGCCAATGCCCTGAGTTTAGGGGTGCGGGGTTTCTAGGTTGAAGATCTTAGGTTCAGGGGCTGCAGGTTAAAGGCTTCAGGGTTAGGGTGTATGGATTCAGGGTTCAGGGTGCAGGATTTTGGAGTTGAGGGTGTGGGACTCCAACCGCAGATCATGTTGCTGTGGAGGATTTAGGGCGACTAACAGCTCTGGCCAAAGCAATCCCGCCCGGAACATTGACATGTCTCACCGCTTGATCTCGTTGAAAATGCTGTTTGGACGCGCACCTTCAGCTTGTCTTAATAACTCCATAAATCTGGGTTAAGTTACTATAATAAGGAAACCCCGTTATTGGCTATATACACATATTTTGGTCACCTGATTTCAGCTCCCTAACAACACCCCAGTAATTTGGTACCAGATGCAGGTTGCTTCGATTTGGATTGCACAAGTTTTGAATGTAAGGCCCTCAGCCGAAGGCCTGGGATCTAGGCCGTAGTCGTAATAATGCTAGCAATAATTTTAGGGATAATAATAGGAGTGATGGTAGTAGCGCAATGAATTTGCTTCTCAACTTGCATTATTTTGTTGCTATTTGCTGTCGCTGTTGCGCTGGTTGTTGACATGACAACATCACTAGCTCCACTTACCTACTCAACAACCGACCCAGTGTGATTTCCCATGTCAATGCTCTTTTGCCCCTGGCACCGAGACCAAGTGGAGCATGCGCTGTGCAGGCATGACGTAACTGCCCATTCTTTTTGCGGTATCCTTTCAGGTGTTCTGCATCAGTACGTAGACATCCACATGGACATGAGTCAAGTCAGGATGCTCTTGCCTTGTCGAAGTGTACATAGTGTACATCGGGTTTCCTCTAGAAGAATGATCCTAATGTTTCGTGCTGCTTGCAATGACATCTGGAGAGACCTGTAAGGTATGGAGTCTGCGGGGCTCTTGGCTCACGGTTGTTGGAACTCTGATTTACACCAGGCCCATGATGGGGAAAGACCATGGAACCACTACAGTTGTGACTTCAGCCTCTGGATTGTGGATGCTCTGGCTCTGCTCAAAAATTAGCCCCAGTCGACCTTAGCTGAAGGATTGTGGGCCATGGATACAGACAAGGCTTGATGGGGGAGGGAGTGCGTTCTTTGGTGGCTTTGGGTTATGAAGACATATATGCATGGGGGAGAGCATGCCTTCCCTGGTCTTGGATGAGTGGCTAGGCAGTGCTGTTGGGCTAAGGTTACGCGTGGGTTGGAAATTGCAGCGCCGTAATCTCTTCAACCAAGCATTTGGATGGTTTAAGAGTCCTGAGAAGGATTCTGACTTGAGATTCCTTAGAGCTTTGAGGGCAGCATGTGACTGGACTGCACAGACGTCAGTCACTTTAAATAGTTGCGACTTCAGGGTTTAAGGCTGGGGCTGCACTTCAGAGAGACGCGTACCAGGTTTGCGCCCAGGGGTCCAAGAGTTGCAGTTCAACCAAACTTTCTGTCATAGCATGCTGCGAGAACACGGGGTGGGGTTCGGGCTTGGAAGGGGTTCTAGGAGGATCTTTTGGGTTTGCATTATTCCAAGACATGGGTGGGTTTTTAAGGTCCGCACTCTTGAGCGTCTTCTTCTCGAGTTTTTGTGCGCTTTCGAAGCATATTGAGAAAAACGGAGCAAGGTTCTTGGACTGGGGTTGGAGATTAAGAGTTCAGGGTGCAGTGTTCGGTGGGCGTGCAGGCTGCGGGGGAGTTATGTGGCTTACTTAGGATGTGTAAACTGCATGATGGTGTGTTATGGTGTTTCAGAGGAGCTCTCAATATATC